TCAAAGATTAAGCTAATAAAAACCAACTGGCATTGTCGCCAAAGTTCAAAAAAAAAAAAAAAAAAAAAAAAAAAATAATAACACATGATGTTAACTTATGATCCCAGGTAGATGGTTGTTCAACTTCTATATCATCATTATCATCATCATCATCATCAATATTTTCATTATTGTAATTGATATTTTCATTACCTTCATTAATGTCTTCATTACTATTTCTATAATTATTATCTTCTTTATAGTCATAATAATCATTATCTTCATCAAGTAAGAACTGAGCACTTACAAAAACTTCTGTAAGAGCAATATCATCAACAGTAAAACCATCTTGACTATTTTCTTTGGAAATAACAGTGAAACCATCTTGGCTATTTTCTTTGAATGTAACAGTAAAGTCATCTTGGCTATTTTCTTCAGAAGCAACAGTAAAACTATTTTTGTTATTTTTTTCAGAATTAATGCATTTCTCAAAATCTTGATAAGTAAATTCAGATTCACTCATTTTGTTAAGGTTTTATTGTTAAAAAATCTATTATAGATTATGAATATAATTTATTTTGAGTTAGAGACTAGATTGCTATATATAATGGATCAAACAGTCTTAGAAGATATATATAATATTTTAATGAACATAAATAATATTTGTTATATTAAATATATTAGCAATTTATTTTGAATTTATACTGAAGAATTAATTCTGCATATGCAAGTTTATTGATTACTTGGAAATTTTTATTATTATTAATTTTCACTTAAAGATAAAAAAATATTTTACCTCTATTTAAATTTAAGAATAATAAAACAATGCAGTAATTAATTAATTAATGTAGAAGAATTAGATAATCGTGTTTAAGTTGTCTTCAGTTTTGAATTGCCAACTAACTTATATTTATTGATTAATTAGACAGATTGAGTCTGAGAAAAAACTTAATTAAAGCAAAAGTCAAGGGTTTAAATACAAGAAAGAATTTCTGCAGCATCTAACTTCTAGGCAGAACAACTTTCTTTTTTGCTTTATATAATGAATGACTCAATGATAACAATATAAGAACAATATTTAGCTATTGAGAGAAAATTGAAAATTTTTTTTTTCATATATTTTATAATTAAGCTACTATACTATTTTTATCTTTAGCCAAACTATATCTAAGAATTTCTCTACTAATTACATACACCATAATAGAAAATAACAGTAATTAATCTATTATATACTATTTAGTTATTAAGAAATTTTCTTTTTCTTATATTCTATAACCAAGCTACTCTGTTATTTTTATCTTTAGCCAAATGTATTTAAGAATTCCTTCACTAATTACATACATCACAATAGAAAATAATAGTAATTGACCTATCATGTACTAAAAAGAGAATAGTGTAGATCTGTTAATTATTATGCTATCTAGTTATTGAGAAATTTTCTTTTATTTATATTCTATAACTAAGCTATCCTGTTATCTTTATCTTTAGCCAAATGTATTTAAGAATCCCTTCACTAATTATATATACCAAAATAGGAAATAATAGTAATTAACTTATCATATACTAAAAAGGAAATAGCATAGATCTGTCAATCACTATGCTTAAATGTTTTCCCAATATACAATGATTCTAATCTTGATTTGGTGAACAATGATCTAAACATGAATATAATGATAATAAGAATGATAATTAAAATAATAAGAGTAATAAGAAAAATAATAATGACAAACAGGAGTATAAGAAAATGATGTAGCAAAAAACTTTAATGCTAACAATGTGTATAGTCATGTTTTTTTATTTATTTTGCTTTTTTATACATAGATCACACTAATTGATTTTGTTAAAAATTTGTATCAATATTTTAGTTATTCATTTTTAGTGAATAGATTATATTTATTAAAATTATTAATTGTATTAGTTTTATGATTTCAGGTTTTTCAAATTAGCATTTACATCTCAAATTCAGAATCTTACTACTATAAAACTACGAAATAATTCTTATGATATTTTGAAAATTGTATTCTTTAGTAGTATTGCATCTTTTTCAAAATAATTCACTTATTGTATAATATATTAGCTAATCTGTTGCATTTAAATTTAATTTTTTATTTCGAAATAATGTATTAGTGAATAAAATAATGTGCAAAGATGCATTATTCATGAATATATAATATAACAAAAAAAAAAAAATTATGGGCAAGTTTAACTTAGAGTTGGAAGACTAATATTTTCAATTTGGTATGTAACTTAATACACATGATGTTTATACAATCTATATCTGATATTTAACATATTTATTAAGAGTTCATTTATTAAGGAAGACATCACTTATATTGCTCAGTATTAGTAATCACTCATATTTGCCTAATATAAGTAGTTAAAAGTATATAATGAATTAATTTTTGCTAGGATCTTTTGACATTAGTACTATGACAGATATTAAATATTTGTCAAATTTTAATAATAAGAACTAATGCATTATTCAAAATAAAAACAGTAGGTTTAATATATTATACATAATACAAGATGCTCTCTTATTTGTTTCAGTAAAGATCTACAAAAAATTTTGTTCAATAAGTATATTGTCTAATTCGATTTCATTTATACTGTTAATCTACAAAAATGATCATAATTTTGAACCACTAGACAGAATTCGATGAAACCACCATTATTCGAATCAGCTCACTAAGACAATTCTAACGAGGTATAGATCATTCATTTCTGATCACAGGATCACAAGATCAAATCTGATAACCAAATTAATAAGGAAGCTGCAATCTGATTGGTTGATGATAACTGCGTGAAATATCATACATATAACATATATCAAATTTATGCATTTTGAAGCATCTA